AAAAACCAAAAAAAAAAAAAAAAAAAAAAAAATGTATCATTATAGTCAAGCCCTGAGATCTTTATCTCCCAACTAAAATCCTCCAGAAGAGAGAGGGGCAGGGGAGTCCGACCATAAAGTCTCAACGGCATGACTGCCTAAACATGTGCGGAAGAAGGACAGCAATCATCGTGCCAAAGGGGATGAGAGAAACCCTACACAAGAATTAGAGGCCACTAAGGAATGCCGAGAGTGTGAGAAATAGTCTGGCTCAGAAAAGAGTGTGCCAAATGGTTATCCGATACCAAATGGTTGAGTAAATAGGTGGCCAGAGAAATGGGGCACTAGTTGATGGTACATACTGTTTAGGAAAGGATCTGAGTTCTGTTCCCTGAACCCATGTTGGGTAGCTCAGACCTGCCCGTAACTCCATCTTTAGGGAATCAAACTTCTCTTGCCTCTTCAAGGATGTGCATGTACACACACACACACACACACACACACACACACACACACAAACACACACACAAAGAAAGAGAGAAGAGAGAGACAGAGACAGAGAGACAGAGTCAAACAGACATCGACACATAATTACATGAAGAAAATATTTTGGAAAAAAACAGGAAATAAAATCACGAGTAGGTGCGATTTCTACTTCTGAAAACAACAGACGTATAGATACAGGTTGTGGACAGTTTCACTTGTCTGTGTTGGCTCTTCTGTAAAGATGGTTGTTTACTCTGAGAAAATTAGCCTTTGCAAATACTGAAGGTGAAAATCAGTGAACTTGAGTGGAAAGTTCGAAGTTGCTCTTTGTGAAGTTATCTTCAGTGTTAAGATGTCTGCCTCAACTGATGGTCCTTCTGGATGGAAAGGGAACTATTAACTACAAGTCCATAGCATGCACTCCCATTGCTGAGTGGTTGCAGTTCCCATAGATAAAAGGTGCACCTGCATTCTTTCCGGGGAACATGTGCACTTACCAAATTAGTCAATGAGGGTATTTGCTTGTTTCAATAAAGAAAAATCAAATCAGTATCCAAATCCAAAACTCTGTGTCTTAAGGTTTCTATTGCTGTGATACAACACCATGACCCAAAACAAGTTGGGGAGGAAAGGGTTTATTTGGCTTTTACTTCCACATTGCTGTTCATCATTGAAGGAAGTCAGTACCGGAACTCAAACAGGACAGGAGCCTGGAGGCAGGAGCTGATGCAGAGGCCAAGGAAGGATGATACTTACTGGCTTGTTCCTCATGGCTTATTCAGCCTACTTTCTTATAGAACCCAGGACCACCAGCCCATGGACAGCACCATCCACCATAGGCTGGGCCCTCCCCCATCAATCACTAATTAAGAAAATGCCTCCCAGGCTTGCGTACAGCCTGATCTAGTGGAGGCTTTTTTCTCAATTGAGGTTCCCTCAGAAGACTTTATTTTGTGTCAAGTTGACATCAAACTGTCCAGCACTCTCTATGTCAAGAACAACCACATAGAAAAGACTTGCAGTAGCTCGTAGGTAGATGAAATAATCTCTAAGTTGGCAAAAATGTGCTCTATTCACTGTCCCAACAGTGTTCAGTTGATAATCCCAGACATGGAAACAGTTTTGAACCTCTTTTTCTTTTCCATGGAGGGCTATGCGCCCTTGTATACATGCTCTTTGGCTGATTAAAGAGGCTATGCACTGTTATTACCACTCATTTACCGACCTGTTATTCAAAGTCTAGACTCCAGAGCCTCAAGATTCTACTTAATTATTTTTAATTGTTCTGGTTTGTTTTGGTTGAGGAAGCCAGAATAATAAGGAAAGGATTCAGAACCTAAGGACAGTGATTTTTGTTGTTGTTGTTGTTGTTTAAAGATGTTCATGAAACATTTTATAGTATCTTTCTGTCAGCATCATTAAGTTTGTATTTCTTGGCACAAACCCTCTCCTCCAGCATACAAAATGAGGAACCTCTAAGCACAGGGGAATTTCATGGGACTATTGAATGTAACTCCACACACTTCAGAGCTGAAATGTTCTTGCTTGGTAAATATTTGACATCCTAAATAAAAGTGTCCCCGATGTCATCATGAGCAATCTATATCTGAAAACAGAGTCCTGCCTCTGTGTAGGAGACGGATTGCTCCTGAACCTAACTAACAACATGTACTGTGAGGACGGACAGTACTCCTGGGATGGCAGTGCAAAGTTGTTATGATATTGTTATTGAACAACCATTATTAAGTCAGACACATTTCTTTAAATTACATTTCTGGGAACAAGGGGCTGTGGAATATCATTAGTTTGCTAGGTAATATGCTGACATGCATGATGAATTGGGGCCTGTTCCTGGTGTTAGACAGCCCCATCCATGTAGAGCTTTTTTGAAGAAAGCCTAGAGAGGAGAAGCTTACATAGGATTCATGCTTCCCCATGTAGTTTGTAGGGGGCTTTTGCCCTTTGGCCTCAAGTATTTTTGAAAGAGGTTGTTTTTTTTTTTTTTTTGTTGTTGTTGTTGCTTTTAAGTTGCTTGTGATTTTTTTAAGATAAGCATAAACAAGGCAAGGACACATTTAAAAAACCATTTCCCCCTTTAAGAATTCAGTTTCACCTGCCCTTTAACTCGCTCGTTTTACTGTTAAGCAGCAGCGTGACAGCTCAGCCTGAGTCACACTTGAGTTCCATGCACTCCAAGTTACATGATTTGTGTTTCCCTTCTCTGAAAACCATGCAGCTTCCTTTATTTGCTGATTGTGGGGCGCTGTTCCTAAGCCTGGGAGAAGCTTCTCTGAGAAGCGCATTTTAATATGGAGATCAAACAGCGATTGGAATACATTAATGCCCAGTGGGGTAAACGTGTCCTTTGAAAGCAGCTGCTGATCCTTCTCCCTGCTGCTCCAATTAACACATACAGCACACTCAGCCAGCAAGAGGGCTGTGCATATGGATGAAACCACTTTGCAGATCACTGAGGCGCCTTGCCAAGAGCCCAAAGAGTTAACCAGCCTTCTCTTTTCCCAAACTGTAGCTTTCTAGGAAGTTTTCCACGTGCCCGCTGTGCTTTGAGCAAAGGAATGCTGATAGGTGTAGGTAAGTTTGGCTGGTGGGGAAAGCCAGGTCGTCCCTAGCTTTGGTTCAGTCCAGTGACTAGCAAGCACACTTCCCCACCACCCTGGTGATGGAGGTGTTGGGTAGTGACATTTCAGTGCTGGGACACCCCTTGCTTCAGCCGAACAGCTTGAACTTTGGTTTGGTTTGGAAACAAGTTGAAGCCCACAAGCTTCGCTGTTTGCTTTCTCTTGAATATCTTACTTTTATTTATCGTCTTACTTTCTGCCTCTGCCCCACCCATCCTTAAAAAAAACCAGCAAATCTGACAGTTTCTGGGGCTAAATGAGAAGTCTCATCAAGGTACCCCCATATTGCTGTTATGTTTTCTCCTGCTGAGGCTGAACTCATGGCCGCGATGGGCACAGGGAGAAAGGCTGGAGGCTAACGTGTCCCGGTCCCTGGGCTTCCTGAGGGTCATTCATGCTCCACCGACTTGCAGAGCAGCTGGGCTGTGCGCTCTGCTGCTGCTGGCTGCGCGGCGCGGCCCCGGGAGTCAGTCATGGACCGCTTCCTGGGATTCGTCAAGCAGATTCGGAGATCTAGGAGAAGAAAGGGGAAAAAGTACCGTCCGGAAGAGGATTACCAGGAGGGCTATGAGGATGTCTATTACTACGCTTCTGAGCATTTCCGAAGTAAGCGCTTCCCTCCACCCTCCTCTCCTGGTCCTTCTCACATGCCTAGGCTGACAATAAACCTTGCATGCTTCTTTACTCTTGGATGCAAAAGATTTACCAGATGGTGTTGTGTGAAGTGTTAGCTCCATTGTGCTTGATTTGTTTTGAGTATAGCCACATCAGATCTGGACACTATTACCAGTCTGGGTCTACAGAGAGGTTAGTATTGTAGATGTAATTGATTCTGTTATTTTTAAGGAGCTGTTCAAAAAACAATCCTGTAGGCAGCTAGACTATCTTCTGTTGTAGCTGTTATTTTTTTTTTTCAATAATTGTATGTGTGTGTGCTTTTCTCCTTTCAAGAGAGAGGTTGGCTTGTTTGAAAGTAGTTGTTTATGTTGGAGTTGATGTTCGTGATTAATGCTCACAGTCCTGACTTCTGGACAATTACCTGTGATGAAAGGTGCTGTTTGTACAAGGAAGTTGAAATGCTTTCCTCTGATGCATGTTCATAATTTTGTTATTAAGTTAGAGGAACTCATTTGCTGTCAGCTAGCAGCAGCAATACCTGTAAAAAAAAAAATACCCACATGGAGACATTTGTAAACTGACTTTAAAATGGCAGAGAACTAAAATTTTTCTTGTACCTGTCAGTTCTCCGGGTTCCTGGTGAGGCGTAGCAGGTCCCAATAGATTTAAAATCCAGAAATGCCTCAGGGTGAGGAGAGAGAAAGCATCTCCTTGCCAAGATCACTGAGTTTGTGTGCCCAAATGAAGGGGAGGGAGATGACAGCTATGTGTGATCTATATTTTAAAAATTAAAAATTATTCCTTATCTTCTGGCGGAAAGATCTTTATGAACGTGTACCTGAAGCCTATTTCTTTTTTCCTTCTGGCCTTTTGAAGTCTAACCATGAATGTATCCCATTTATACCTTTTGAGCATTGACTAATAAATAATTTAGATCCCAATTTCTATGGCACCGAAAGCCATAGGAATTATTTCTACATGACAAAAAGTCCCTGCTGTGATTAATGCAGGCTGAGGGCTGAAAACTCACGTGGTAGCAATAACACAATAATGCCAATTGTAATTCTTTGATACTTGCCTGAACAGTATTGCTATAATGTTTTCACAGAGTGTTCTCTGAGTTTCAGGGATATTTCTATGCTGTAGTGCTTTTTTCATGAATAATCTATTCTAATGTAGCGACAGTCTATGTTTCCTAAATTTAGCTTCCTTGATATATTCTCAAATTTAACTAAGATTTGTGCCACACATTAAAAAAAAATACTGCCAGCTTGCATGAGGAATAATTCTGAAATGCAGAAAGTGGGGTTGGGGAGCCTAAGAACATTGCTTGGACTGCTATTCCTTGAACACAGTTCTTGCAATCAATACGTACCGAGGCTAATTCACACCCTCTGTGATTTCTGTCGTGATGAATGTGTGTACAAATTGACTCAAACAAAATCTCTCAAATGCCGGCATTCTACTTGTTTGGCTGAGGTTTTCTATTTTTAAAATACATTTGCTGAAAAAAAACACATGTCAGCAGGGCAAAGTGCTTCCCAAGATTAGACTAAAAGGTATAATCAAGGGTGGTAATCGTTACCATCAAGTTCAGAGGAAGACTTGAAGAAAATCACGTTTTATCAGATTCTTCAAGTTTGCTCTAGGAATAAGGCACTAACCAGCTCAAGTGTTTGCCTTTCCATGTGAAAATAACATCCAGTGGCTTTTTGTTTGTTGTTTGTTTTTTTCCGGAAGCTCCCTTTCTTTATAAGATGCAGTTGAAAACTTGTAGACTTAGCTGGCTGTTGGGTCCCCCCACTTCAGAACGCTACATCATAGACAGAATATGCCACAGTGAACTAACATCTGGGGTTTGGCATTTCATCAAATATTAAATAGCTCAAGCTTTTGCAGAAGGCATGTCACATAGCCCAGTGACCTCGTGGTGCATCTTTGGCTCCAGTTTCAGAGCCTCCCAGAATTGGCAGAGGAAATTCCACTTGTATTTAACTGCTATAGAAAAGTGTACACAGCAAGCGTGACTCTTAAAGCTAATCTTCTCAAATGGGTAATAGGGCCGAATTTAATCACATCTGCTGCGTATCCACTTTAATTAGTCTTTGGTATAATTTGGAAGTTTACACCCCATGTATCTCTTCACATGGGAAGAAACTCCATTTATATTAAGGCTGAGAGTGTGGTAGAATTTATTGATGATATTCACGTCTTATTCAATGATGGCATTGATTTTTTTTTTTTAGTCATTCCCCTTTATTGGTGTCTAGTGTTTTTCTTGCCTTTCGTGAAACTTAACTCCGTCATGTAAATTTTCTATCAGTTCATATTATAAGAAATTGATCATTTGACAGTGAAAGATTGAGCTAAGAGGGGCTGCCTAGAAAATGCCCCCACATCCTTCCTTCTCTTGGATAGTTTCAAGGGCTTTCTAGTACTTGATTTTATTCTAAGTCATGTTTCTTCCCTTCTGGGTTTGAAGTGAGCATTAGATACCCCTCAGTTATTGTAATAAATGCCTAAGACTGAATTAAGATGTTAACAGGGCCAGATGTGGCAGAATGGAGATTGTTCTAGAAAAGAATGATTTCCCTGCTACCCTGTCAGAACTGGGTTTAAACAGTGATGGACTGATTTTGTTTTTGTTTTTGTTGTTTTAAGGAAAATCTTTGCGTATTATTTTGTACCAACATACACAACTGTGTACAAGAGGCAGAATGAAATGTTTTATTAAAAGCTGCCTTTGCCACTTCTCAATTCTTTCATAATTCTAGAGCTGGAGTTGAAGCAAACAAGACAGAAGCCTTAGGCAAATCACCAAACACTTCCGTGTTTTAGTTCATAAAATGTGACACAGAGGTCTATTTGTAAGGATATTTTTAAGTACAAAAATATTAATCTTATTTTAATTTTTAAATCAATTCAGGTTAAAAACAAACAAGCAAACAATAAACAGTGTAGTCAGGAAAGGGGGCCGGCAGCTCCAGCATCTTTCTGTATTGCCCAGTCCTGTCTCCAGCTCCCGGGCCCTCTGCTCCAGCCTCTGGAGGACCTGATACTAAAGGTAATGCTACCACCATAGCGACTTTAGATAAAGAATTAGACAAAGCATTTCATCTGCTACTTAAACCAAATAATCCACTTGACTATCATGAAGGAATTATCTCATTGGCTTTATTTATTTATGTATTTTATTTTTATTTATTTATTATTTTATTAATTCATTTTCATTAGGAACTGTCACAAAGGGTATTCCTTTTTATTGAAGATCATGATTTATCACTGACTATTAAGGAACTTGGGAGAGTTTTGATAATCCAGCAGAGTTCTCAATATGTTGCTAAATCTTAGAGACCTTCTATTTAATTGTACCTACCAAGGAGCATCATTTTCTCTTGAAATTCTTAGAGATGATTCATTGAGTGTTTCCCCTTAGCAGAAACCTGAGTTGGTTACAAAACTGTCATAAGTCTAAATGTAACAGCCCGCCAGAGCTGGACCCTACAATGCAGTTTTATTATGTGCCTTTTTCCCCTGACTAAAATTTTGATTATTGTAAGTTTTTTTTTTTTTTTTAAGGCTCTGGCTGGCCATGCTTATTTTATCTGCCATACAAATTTAAATGTCTGATCCTATTGTTATACTTTGTTTTTTAATTTCACACTGTATAACATTCAAGGTATAAAGCAGATAGGGTGTATCATCTAGTCATTCTCTTTGGACTGTTCTTAGCCCTGATAGAAGTCCTGACTAGCCATGATCTATTTGCTGAATTATTGGAAGGGAGAGACCTGTTTGTCTCTTACCAACTGCAGCCCTGGCACCTTTTACAGATGCATCATGGTATTGAATTAGGCACGGGGTTCCTCCATGGTAACAACTCTCCTGGGCTTTCACTTACCTCACCTCTACTGGAGCAAAGCTGTGTGTGAAAACTGTACCTGGCGGCGTGTTAGCGCCCATTCCCCTATCCTCCTGTGGTCACTTAAAGTGAACCTGGGAAAGGAGCAGAACACAGCTACTGGGTAGATCTTTGAAAGAAAGATCATTCGTATTAGCAAATTATCTTTATTTGTTGTCGCTGTTTGCTTATGCTGAGCTGTGGTTCTCAGATGGTGTGCGTGTGCGTGTGCGTGTGCGTGTGCGTGTGCGTGTGCGTGTGCGTGTGTGTGTGTGTGTGTGTGTGTGTGTAAAAACATTATAGCTAAGTTATTTTATCAAGCACTATATGCATTTGAAAGTCCTGCTCAGGCAACTTAGGCTGCGATTTGACTCAGACCTCATCTTAAGAATATTTAATGTATTTCCTTAATTGAAAAAAACATTGCATATTGTTCTTCTTAGGGCATAAATCAAGTTTGGTGGTAGGTGTTTACAGTGAGGGCATTTTAAGGCAGTGATGTAGATGATTAATTTTCATTTATTTATTTATTTGTTGTTTTGTAAATCCATGAGACAGTTTCCTCTCTCCACTGGAGGACTGTCACCTAGTTAGGATTCTCTCTCTTGAGAAATGTGCCAGGAGGATAGAGTGGGAATTTTGACATCTACTTTGAAAAGATGGTTAACCCCTACTGTAATACATGCAAAAGCTGAATAAGTAGTGTGTTTGGTTTCCTTGGCCTTTGGCAGAGGAATGAAGAGAAGTGGGGGGGAGGGGAGGGAAGGGGCAAGGGCAGCTTAGCTCTCTGACTTCCCCAGTGCTGGCCCACAGAAGCCATTTGTTTCTGTAGTGGAAGCAGTGGTGATCAAACTGACAGGTCTTGGATGTGAGATCCCGGATGATTCAAGCCTTGACTGTACTTAGTTTGACTCAAGAAGCCCCCGGAGGATTCAAAGAAACAACGATTATGAAGGAACCGGCTTGGTTATGAAGAGGCATTTTCTTTGCTTTATTACTGTCCTCTTTACTTTTCTCTGGAAAGAATTGCTTTCTGTCCGCAGTGCATTTGTTTTGCTGAAAATTGATTGGCTGGCATATTCCATTT